TCAGGGCAGGACTGCAGAGGGCGCCGGTGGGATTTTGGGCAATTGGCGCAAAACCCTAGAAGGGCAGCCACGAATCTCCCTAGATGAACGGTGGAATCAACTATGATGTGTGTCGCATTGTAGGCTCTCGAAGGAGTTTAGTTTCCTTGTGTGTCTCCCTTAAAACAACCCTCCAACGCGGATCAAACATGGAGAACCATGAATATTGTCAGCATTCCAAAGGAGAGCGCCGGTCTTCAATTTGCCACGCGGAGTAAAGCTTTGCCTTGCTTCCTCCCCGCCCAATCTAGTCTAAGTACCCAAACTTTGACAAGCTACGCAGCGGAGCAGGCATGAATTCGCTTCCAAATCTCGCACATGCCATACTTGAACTAACAGTGCTTCTCCTTTTCCCAGACCATGCCCACAAGCAAACCTCAGAAGTGACAGGGACGAGCAACAAGTTATCATCAGCTCTGGTTGCTAGTGGTGTTCACAGGCACGCCACAAGGAATGAGCAACACAAACGCCCCGGCCCCCCATCGCCTCCCGCTGGACCAACACTCCGGTGGCTCCGGCACTTTGGCCTCCAGGTCGGTTGCTTGTTTCGGGCTTAGGATTGATTAGAGAGCCGTCTGTCACACAGGTTCCAAACCCTCCAACTTGAGTCACAATCAACACCTGGACAAAAAGGGTGATTGCCCGAAGCAAAGTGATGCATTTCAAGGGCCCCCACACCCATGTTTGGTTGGGACTGTCCCTTACTATCCTCTTTCTACCCGGGTTTTGATTGCCGCGCGCTGTATTCTTCCTGTTTACGTGTGCAACAAACTCAGAAATGACACTTTTTTTTGGTATCAGCGGATCCTACGACGTGCATGAGTGCCAGCCCTGGCCAAACTCCCGCCCAAAGAACTGCTGAAGCTTCGGGTTTCCTTGACGCGGGCTCATGGTACAACGACCTTTCCAAAAGCTGAGCCTTGAATCTGGGCGGACATCTCAGTCTGACACTCAGAATCGATCCTCTAGGTTCTAGCCTACCCACGGCCACCGTGGCATCTGACTTTGCTTGAACACCACGCACCAGTGAGCTGTTGCGCGACGGGAAGGACTGAAATCCTACGCCTGTAGGGTTTCAGGGCGATGTGAAAAACGGAAGGGGTGAGGTCACAATACAGCTGACCTAAACTTCTCACCGTTTCCGTCAGGTTAACGAGCCGACGAGCCGGGAGCTCCCGGTGGGACATCTGATGCTCAGACTGGAGGCATCCGCGTTCAACGTGCATTCTACTAAAATGACAGAAGACCTGCCCAAACTAAGACGCCAGCAAAAGCTTCTCTTTTCTGCTTGACTAGTTGAGAAGGTAAACTAATTTGAGTCTGGCAATGTTAAAATCAATAGACGAGGCCTTCCCCCCAAACAATTCGTGCCACGCCATCCCTCCGCCTCCACCTGCAATACGAAGCTCTGGCGGAGCCTGCCAAATGGGGGCCACATGGGGGACTGTGGGAAAATTATCTTGACCCGCAGCTGCGCTACCAGAAAATAAGCTCGGGTGATATCCCCAGCAGCATACGGTGCTCTTTTTAGTGCTCGTACCACCCCGCACTCGTGGAACCCTGGTGGAACCCTAGTGAAACCCTAGTGGAACCCTGTGGAACTCTGGTGGAACTCTGGTGGAACCCTGGTGGAACCCTGGTGGAATCTACCTCAGGGCCGCCCCGGATCTGGGCTGAGACCCCAAAGCTTTCAGCTGTTGCGGAATAATATTTGCAGATTCTACTTCAAGGTTAGTTTACCCAGAGATATAATACAGTTTTGGAGGAAGCCCCAGTCAAATACCACCCCTTTGGTTTTCTGGAGGGGCAGGTTAGGCATCACACGCCCTTGGCTTCCTTCATGGAAAACAAACAATTCATAACACATCCCCACGCCCTTTTGACGTCCCTTCGCGGGGCATCCACAACTTTGGGCTATTCAGCACACGCTTGCCACAATTCGCCAACGTTGGTAGAGATGAATCTCGGCCTGAATGATGTCTGCCAAAGATCACCAAAGGGCCCCCCTATTGAAATTCATACCCACATTGCCAGTGCCATAACAGCCATCGTGTGTGTGCGCATTGAGCCCCGCGGTATGGATGTTCGTATACTCACGACCGTCCGGAACGAATATCACACGGGTGTTTCTTTAAAACAGACCCCTGCACAAGCGGCATTGGCCACCTCGCCTGAAGGGGGGGCATGGTGTTTCTCAAAATAGAAGTTGAACAAAATTGTTAGTGTACTTTTGGTTTCCCGTTAACAGCGGTCCACCATTTTCAGAACCCCCCACATCCGTCCACACGGTTCAACTGTTCAGGACATTGCAGCCGGGCCTATGCCAGCCAACAACCTGTCAAACTTGAGTGGTTACACATGCTTGCTCTCCGGTCAGCTGACTCTTGACTGCTTTGCAGTCCACAATCACAGCAACTGCCCGGCAAATATGTGGCTATGGTGGCATATCAGTCTTCGACCTTCAGCCTGTTTTTCAGCACAAGTTTCTGATGAACGTAATTGCACACGGCAGTTGGATTCAGCAGGCCTTCGCCCTAGCTGCGTATTCGCACATTGCCAGGGCATTTTCAGCGAGAACCATCAAAGGGCACCGGCAAATTCAATACAAACATATCAAAGGATTCCTAGCTTTATGTATCTCTGGGCATGCCATATTGCCAGTATTGCGTGCCTTCCATTGTGGTCTCTTGAATAGCCTCCCAAAATGGGTCCTTTGTTTTGGCACGTCCCTTTAACACAAGCCAGTCCAAATGACCCTTGGTAGCCAATCGCGCCTCCTTCCAATCTGCAATGAGCTCAACCTTGGCAAAAGATTCCCCCCCCCCCCCAATCGAATCACCCCAGCCCTACCCACGAAGCCCAAACTAGAACTAAGGCAGCCCTCCAGTACCTCTATTTTTGTTCGCTCATTTTTCGCACGAATCGGTGAGCTCAGGAACCAATTATTCCTAGCCCAGGTGCCGAACGAGAGTTGCAGGTGAAAGGTCACGCGCTTCATAGCCGCTTCCCCCCTGTCCGCTGTGAGCCCAGCAAAGCTGCGATAGCACTCCTGGGAATCTGCCTGACGAGATTGCCCATGGGAACTATCGATGCCTTGTCAGAAAAGGAACCCGCTTCCATCTACCAACCTGGAACCCAAAATGGTCTTCTGGGACCCCTAGGGCTGGTAGATGGGGGAAAAAATCATTTGCAACGAGAAAAAACCCACCAGTTTCGGCAACCGTTGCGGCTCGGAACAGCACAATGGTGAATAGGCCACATGAAGCCAGGGAGCCCCTAAAGCAAACATTGCGATTTGGGCATTGCTCACCCCGGGGAACCACTGAGCCTGTGGAAAAGATTCGGCATGCCGTTGACATGTAGCACTGGCGGATTCAGCCTATCTGTCAGCTGTGCGAATATGTTTTGAGAGATGCCCGCTCTTGAGTTACGTGCTGGCCGAATCGCTTCATTCAAGGACCTACACAACTGTGACCTCGTTTCATCCGCAGGTGAGCTCGCCATATGGACTTGTAATCAAATCTCAGTTGCCCCCGTCCCTGGATTGTCCTTGGATGCTCCGGGGTGAACTCCGCGACCTGCAGTTTTCAGTTGTGCATTCGCTGTGCGCCTTCCACCCGTAGCAACCCCAGTGCCACGGCTGCCTCCCTCAAGCCTCACGTGGCGAGCCTTCTTGACCATCAGCGCAGGAAAAGAAGTGGCCTCGGCCATCGCGAATGCACCGGTGCGGTGACGCCTTCAGATTCTGACAGCTCAGTGAATCACTTCAAACGATTTCCGATTCGCAATGCCCAGGATGCCGTACAGTACCTCAAAAGCTGTTCAGCGATGGTGTCTCAATGTCTGCATTGCATGATTGGTGGTTTCCCTTCCTTGTCCCTCTACCTGCATTTCTTTGGGAGTGTTGGACATCAGATCAGGTCGAATGCGATTCGACTTGCCCGCTTCAGAGGGGACGCAGCAATATGAATCAACCAGAGGATTCTGCCTTCTGAATGCTGGGCCCTCGAGTCGTTTGGACCCGCCAAGGCGGCGTTGACCGTCCTACCTCCCGGCCAATTATTCGGAGTCCTACGTGATAATATCTTCATTGTGGAGGATCTCGCTCTAAGCATATGGGACAACGGATCCCAAAAGTCAACTGTAACCAGGGACCTGGATCTGGCAGCTAAGATGCCCGCGCCGAGGCTCTTCAGGAGTCGCTCCCTGAGCCGACGTTCCACGTCTGTCACTACGTTGCGGCAAAGCCTGGGACCAAAAGCCAAAAGAGACTAACAAAGACAGAAAGGTCGAAAGGTCAACTTTGGGCAACGTGCTGGATCTTGATGGATCTTGTAGTGGCGACCACTAGAACAGGCGGCTCCTCACATTGAGGCCACAGATATGCGAACTACAGCGTCGCACAAATTGCGCTGACTATTGATATGGCCATAAAATGTAATAAGGAACAACCTCAAAAGTGGTTGGTGCACGTGAACTGCCTGAATGAAGTTTAAAGGGTACAACCTCAAAAGTGGTTGGCGCACGTGAACTGCCCAAATGATGTTCAAAGGGTTCTCAATTAAATTTCATGCCCATAATACAACAAGCATACTGTTGGGTTGGCTCTGCGTCGGCTATCCATGCGGGTTGCGAATTGTGGGCCAGGGACTTGGTCCCTAAAGAAACTCATGGACTGTGTGTGTGTGTGTGTGTGTGATGACCTACCCGCAAAAAAAGCAACGTTTCGAACATGGTTTCCTAAGCTAGACCGTTTAGACCCTTGCAAATGGCCGGTTTCCCAATTTGAAATTCTTACAGGGGTCCATGAACTACCGTACTTCACCAAGGAAACCCCTGACCTTGCATTGAAGCTAAGGTCTGATAGAATCTCCAGTGGCTTGAAACCCCAAAGGCTTAGCAACTCAAGAAGGAACGGCCATTCATGGCCCCTTTTCCCGTGCAGAAACTAGCCAAAGGATGCAACTGAAAACAACTACACACAATTGGCATTCCCGTTTTGGAAAGTGCTCCTCCCGTGAACATCCGTACGCCGAACAGATCCAGACCCTTGTAAAAGGTTAGATTTTCTTGGTGGTTGAAATGGAGCATGGCGGAAAGCAACAAATGGAAAAATGCCTAACAATCGCGCTTGCAATCCTGCAGATGGACATCTACAGGCCTCTCCAGTTGGCTACATTTCCATCTGCGAAACTTTTGTCCTTGCCATCTGTGCAAATGGATCTCCCTGCGCCAATTACTCCAATTCAAAAGCTGCAAATTTGGGATTTTTATTTTGTTTGGCCCCAGGTCCCTAGGTTTTCCGGACACCCCGCTGCGTAAACAAGGGGTTTCAGGTTTATCAGGTTCCATAAATGGGACTTGGGTTTTCGGGGTTCATCCACCTGGCGCGTCCACAACCTAAAACAAGCACATGTTGGTTCAAAATAGGTGGTTTACAATTCGGCCTCCGGTCCTCCCCTCTGATGAAACCTATGCCCCTCTGCACACCCTAAAAAAATAACGCAAAAGCCGTTTGCGGACTCTGCTGCAGGCTGGGTCCCCTTCTTCTGTGGGCCGGGGGGGGTGTTGCAACAGCCGGGCGTTGTCGCTCGATTTGTCTGGGCGCCCGGCTCACATGCCCAAAGCCGCTCCGCCCCGAGCTTCTCCTCCCAGCCGGGCTCCGCCGCGGCCTAGGCTCCCAAGAGCCCAAGGGCCTAAGGGGTGTGGCGGAGGGGTCGCGAAAAAGCGCCAGGCTGGACAAAGGGATGGCATTCAGTGTTTGAGAGTGCCCTTTTTGGGCCTGTTTCCGTCTAAGGGAATGGCTCCATTAGGGACACCGAAATTCACCCGGAAGCTTGTTGGCTTCACAATCCTGCCAGTGCCCCTATTGAACGAGCAATTACAAACTCCCAGCTCGGCTTTATGTTGCCCCAAAGATTTGGCTGTATGTTCCACCTAGGAGCTATCAACATAAGGCCCGAACTAATAACCAGCAACAAGAAACAACTAAATACACAACACCATATAATACATAAATACAATACACAATGTGCTCGTCCAAAATGGGGACCCCCGAAAGGGGCGCCTTTCCTTTCGGCTGCCATTTGAAGCTAAAACAAAACAGTCTCATATATCCGTCAACGCGTGGCCGTGTCTTTCATGTTGGTGCCCTGGGTTCAGCCACCAGCCAGTTGGATAATGGCGCCAACCGTGACAGCACAGTTGCAGGAATCGGAATCAGGAAGCTAAGACGTTGCTTGAGACCATGGAAGCCTCCAAACGATAGAAGCCAAAAGGAAAGCAAGTCCGGAAGCCAACTGTAAACAAGCAATACACACCTATTCCTTGACACAGAGAGCGAGAGAGAGAGAGCGAGGAGGAGCGATAGACAGACACACAAGCATGCACACCCATCTGGGTGTACCACAAATTACGCTGCCAGTATACAATTCCCTATGCTCCTAGCCCCAGGTTATGAGCATCTACGGCTTTAACAACCTCCTTTAAGTTCCCAAAAGGAGACTAGGCTCTTGTTGTAAAACTTTGCTCAACCTGGGTTCCTATATTTGTCTTTAAATCATCATCCCTGGACCATATGTTTTGCCCCATACCCGTTGGACTTGAGATCCTCACTTCCAAGATGGCTGTCACCGAGGCCAGGCGAACCTCTTCCACACGGGAAGAGCCTGCGGCTTGCGGAGAGCAAATGGATGCGGCTCAAGATTCGGCAGACCCACAAGAAGGGGACCGCAGATTTAGTTCAGTTTTCTATAACATGGGAGGGGGGGGGTTAACAGATATTCCAATGAACTCTGGCGAAGAAGCCATGAGGCAAGGTCAGAGTTCTCATCAATGAAAGACACGCAGCCAAGGCTGGAGTTCTTCCCCAGGAATTTCTTCGAGTTCTTTTGATTGGAAAACAAGCATGATCACAGGCAAAACTTTGTGTTGACTGGCAACCCCTTGCGGCATCTTCACCCCGAATTCGCCATGCGGTTTCGGCTTCACCCCGGACAAATTCACCGAAATGGAAAGTGAAGCCCATTTTGGGCTTCGAACCCTGATTTTAACACACACACACACATGTCCGGCGGGACGCAGCTCCGCGGACCCACCTTCTTCGCTCTTCTTTGTGTCCTCCGCAGCTGAAGAAACCCAGCAAGCAGGACCCGGGGGTGGCCCCTTCGGGCCAAGATCCCTAGCACCATCTTGACCTGGGTACGTGCCAAATTAGGTAACCCCAAACAAGTAGCATCCCTTTTGGTTTCCTTGAAACCAAGGTGAAAAGTGTACCGAACTTACCCTGGGTCAATCAGTCAGACCTGAAAGGGGAGCTTCTTCGGTGAATCTGGCCGCACCGGCTCAGCATGTCTCAAGGTTTGCCCACGGCTCTGGATGCAACTGGCAAAAACGCTGACACGTGCATGACCGCAAAGTGCCAATGACTGGAAACATATCTTTCTCTAGCGCCGCGTGACCTCACCTTGAGGTAAAAAACAAAGTATGATGGTACTGCAAGCCAACCACTGAAAGGATCTTCCCAAAAGGGTTGACTGCTAGAGGGCGCGCAAGCTCTTATGCGTAACAGTCCAAGCTCACGCACAAAAAGAGAGCGGACGCCCTCAGCTTCCGCGGCGATCATTGGCTAAAACTCTGCTGGCGCCTTTGACCATCGTAGCCTTCAATGCTGTTCATTGCGATCATATTTGGGTATTTATCAAAATAGAGAGACCCCAAAACTGGTGGCGGTCCTTGGTATTTCTCTTTCAACAAAGCTTAACAAGGGTACCCTCAAAATGCAAACAAACACACACACACACACACACGCATATATATATATATACATACACACCTTTGGCCAAATCTTAAGGTCGTCGGGGAAGACTCTTAGCCATGACAAGCCCATGCGAGTTTTGATGCTCGGTTGCCTCCCACCAAGAAGCTACGGTAAATATAGTGTTTCCTTGTTCCATTCATCCATCGTACATGCTAGCTACACACAGCGCAGCCCGCTTACGAAATGAAAAGCGCCTCGGCCAGCTGCGACCAAAATCGTTGCGACAAGGTGGACCACTGCAACCTGAGACAAGCACATCTCATCAAATCTGAAGGCTGGTTCTTATGGAACCTTTTCAAGGGTGGGAAGGGCGTTCGCTCCGGACCTGCGCTAAACTGACCTGGAATGGGGGGCCATTCCCTCATTCCCGCGTTCCCTACCAAGAACAAGCAAATCTTGGTGGCGAGCGGCCTTTCTGTCCTCGCCCTACTTGGTACAAGAGGCCCAAAGAGCCAACAGCAAAACATGCGAGGGCACGCCGTGCACACCAAGCTGTCAATAGAGCCTTCATCAAGGGTGAGGTGGCTTGCCCGCTCTTGAGGTTGCTCAACGTCTGCCAGACCTGAGAACGACCCGAACAAGCTAGGTTTCTTTCAAATTTGGAATTGTGCAGCTACAACTTTGAGCTTGAGGTCAGCTCATGTGAGACTTGAATGGGTTATGCTTTAAAACGTTCACACCCCGCGAACTGCCAATCGACAATCGGCCAGGCACCAAAGGCTCATTTCTTGCTGACAGCCAACACGAAGCAAGTGGCAGCATTGGCCCCAGCTTCCCTGCGGCCATTTGACACGTAGGCTGTACAGGCGTGCATAAGTTGGTGATTGTCCAAGCCAGTATTCATTGATCCTAATATCTTAGTTTAACATATGTATATATATATATATATATATTTATGTATATATATATATATATGTATGCATTGCTGATACATTCTGAGTTGCGTCCAACAATACCCTTTGGCCACTTTGCCAATACTGGGTTCATGCCAGAAATATCAACAAAGCATCCTTTTGCAATTTTCAAAATCCAATTCCTCATTTGGAGACACGCCCCATCTGCGAAGTCTCCACCCCAGCGGCTGTCTTTCACAGTACTTTCAGCCCAGTACCAAACACCGAATTACGCAGAACTGCTAGTTCTACACGAGTCATGGAGCACTTTTTTGTGGGGCATGGTAAGGAACCTTACCATGGTGCTCGATTTTCCCTCGAAAGAGGTGGTTCGCCATCCTTGCCCGCGCAAAGGAACTCACTCCGAGGCCAAGGGCCCGGCCGTTTCTCGTCGCATTGACCCTTCGCCAGGGCCAAGAGGAGTGGACCCTGCGAGCAACCCATGGCTGGCGTGAAGGCTCCTTGATCAACCAGGGAGTCTGGAACAACAAACAAGTACTGGTAGAATATTGGGTTGCGGATTTCTGAGGGATAGCTTTTGCGACATGGAAGTTCTAGCACCTGTAACAGTAAAATCAGCGTGCTTCCTCCCGGCTTCACACCCAGTATTCTCAATGCCTTTCCTGCCACGACTCCTTGCTCCGAAATCAGTTGAATGGTCAATGGCAACAAGTCTCACCAATGAAGCACAGATTACATCGAACCATGCTCGCAACCGAATATTAACGCGCAGCTCGAAATCAGTGATGATATTGTTTCACTTCATTCTGATTCGCGGTCCTTGCTGCCAACTGTTGCCTCTTCTATCACATCCCTACGAAGGTTCTTGAGACGCATACAGTTCACTCAAAACACTTAGTAAGGCATGCAAATTCAATCAATCTGAAACACCGCAACTTCAGATCAATTGAAACACCTATTCCAATGAATAGTGAATGACAGTTGCCTTTTAGCTGCTATGACGGCAATGAGCAACACGGCAACAACAATCTGCTACCATGTGGATGAGGTGAATGAGACAACAATGCCAATGAGTAGTCAAATGAGTTCACTGAGACGGCAACAGGAAGCCTTCATATCGTGGTGGTTGCTTTGTGATGCTCTGTGATATCCGTGCGATAGCCGAGGCATCCTCGAGACATTACTGTAAGTACTTTCCTCACAACATCACTCCCAAGCGCCAGCCAAAGTGAGCAACGAGGTCTGCTTGAAGAAGATGTAATGTTAACATTGGATGGTTGGCAAATACTAATTATCGATGACTGAGCCTCGCTTTTAGGATCCTATACGCACCAGTTCTAAAATCTGATGTGGGCCTCTGGGACCACCCCTACTTAGTACGGCGCTTCTGGCAGAATCATCTTCCCGCACAAATTCACTGACTTCACTTCCAGTCCAACTAAACCTTCATCCAATTTCCGGATGCGTCCCTAATCCCGCACAGCGGCCACCTACAAGCACCTTCTTCCAGAGACCGCCTTCTCTGCCAGACCCCGTTTCATCTGAGGTTTGACCTTCTGGGGTGTGGAGGGTGTGTTTATTGATCCGAGATTGACATGAAGGAGCTTCCTGCTCAGAACAAACAAACACACAACAACACATGTTTGCCTCCGTCACAACATGGATCTTGACCTTGGCGCAAAAAACATGGCATTTCATGCGCTCAAACGATGGCAAACACACCAAGGTCTGAAGCAAGCATTGCCTAATTGCTGAGCGTCCCTGCCAGTTCGGAGTCGCTCATCCGCAACTGCTCCAGTAACCCTTGGACTCGCTCCTTGCCGAGCATCAGCTGGTGATGTACCCGTTTCTGGACTTGCGTTGTAAACAACAGGGTAGTATGGCTTTCAGAAGCCTGGTTGTGATGCAACACATGCCTCTTGCATTTGATATTCTACAAAGTCAAGGAAGTGCAGTTGCAGAAAAACAAAACACTTCACGAATGCTATGCAGTTCTGTCCCACGCTCGCACACACACACACAAGCATGCAGGAAAGCACGCGCACAGTCAGGCTTGCACGCGGGCGCAGGCAGGCATGCGCACGTGCACGCACAACAACTACAGAATATGCCCACCATTATTACATATCACTGTGAATTGTTAGCTCCTCTTCAACTGAAACTTGGGGCTATCAGGCCATGTGTCATGATCATGATGCAAACATCAGCCAGATGGACGCCTGCGCGTAGCGAGATTGATAGATAGTAGAACAGCCTCCCGCTGTGTATTTTCCATTTAACAGCTCCAAAGTCCAATATCGACTCCCGTATAGTGGCACAGTATTGGAATCCTTATCCGCCTTCGCACCTTGGAACTGCTGGAGAGTTCGGGCCGTATCTTAGCGTTTCCAGACATCTACCATCTACCTAAACAGAAGGCTAAAGTTAACCTGTCTTTCTCCCTGATACTACATGTGTACTGTGCGCTAGGCGATTCCAAGCCCTGCGTGGCGTGAAAGACATTGAATCGCCCCGCATTTCCAACCCGAAAGTAGAGAAAGCCTGGGAAAGGGGCCGATGATGGAAGCTGTCCTACAGCCCTTCAAAAGAAACACAATCATTACGCTCTGAAGGCAGCACCTTCCGGAAAAGAAAACAACGCTAGACTGAGGTGAAATGCCAATGGTTTTTCAACAAACTACGAGCCCACACACGGAGACAAATCCAACATCGGGCCTTTTGCGGCTGTAAACGTTGCTCACATGCCAACAAAACCGAGGATGATCGACGCCGAGGACCACTCGGCAATATCCCCCGGTTTGAGGAAGCAAACATCTGTTTAGTTCCATCCTTGATCCCTTTTTTTAAAATCCCATCTCTCCTGCAGCACTTTGCCGCTCTCTAAAGCGGATCTGCCTGGCATTGACTGAGCGGCAAGGCTCAGGGAAGTATCACTGTTTTGGAGCCCACCGATTTCAAGACTATTCTCAAGTTGATGGCGTTTGGTACTATGCCTAGGTGAGTTTGGTACAAGATCTGTGTGAGTCATAATCAAAGCCTGGTACGAGTATAGGAGACTAAAACCATTTCAGACTTACAGTAAAAGGGCCCGGACCTATTCTTAACTTGGGGGTTCGGAATATCGTTCAGTTTTGAGGTATTCATGTCAGGGCATGTTGCCATGCGTCCCAACATGTTTGAGTGCAGCCTGGCTGTGATTGAGAGTTTGGATTCTGGATCTCGGGTTGGGCGACAAACACAAAATCAAACAATGCTTGAGCGTACGAACGGATATGCCAGGTGGCTTCTTAGACGGCCAAAAGTTAAGCACCGCGGACATCATGACAACAGGTGATATCAGTATGTTAAGCAAACATCTTCTCTGTGAGCACCTTACTGACAACAATTACCCCGGCATTGGCAAAGCTTTCAGAAACCGCTCGAATGGAAGACCACATGGTACATCCTCAGTGGCCTAAGAGGAAAAAGAAGGAAATCAGGTTGTATTTGCCTCTCAACAAGAAGAGCTGAAACACCCCTTTCCTTTTGGCTACCGTCTCAAGCTTCAACACAGCTCGAGCTGATGTTCGCTCCAACAGTTTCCGCCGACCTCATAAACACTCTCCAGCATCAATGTCTGTCACTGGACAACATGGCATGCCCAAAATTGAACAATACATAATACATATGTTTGATACTTGTTTGGGGGTTGCTTATTCCACGGCACAGCCAGATATTCATAACAGGCAGCTGGCCATCTCCAAGACATCAGGCGCAAGCATTCCGAGAATCTGGTCCCTTTTCTCTCGCAGACATGCAAACAACAAGAACCACATCCACGGTCCAGCCACACCTTTGTGAAACGAGTCGTATGACGTACCTCAGTCCAACAAAACCCTCGGTTTGCAACCGGGGTCACGGGATTGAACCTCTGCACAAGAACTGTTGGAACCCACACGACGGTTTGACAAGTAAGAAACCCAATTAGGAAACCTTCAAAATCACAAACATTCACAAACCAAAGCTGTTGTGAAGTCCCTGTAATATGCCATAATGGTTGACTTTTCCACTGGTCAAAGCATTGCGCAAAAACGTCCGCCGCTGGCAACACCTCTCGCTTGAACAGCGCGCCTACAAGAACCTTCTCCAGATTCTGCGCCCAGTACTTCTCTAGCTTGGGACGCTCGCCTGTCATGTCTCTTTGAAAGTGCTTCTGTCGGAGGATTGCTTTGTTTTTTGGCTGGAGCAAATTGACAACAGCATCCGAATTGATTGGCCCAGAGATTGGTGCCTGTTCGTTCTTAAACCGACCTGAACAATGGCAACTCCACGCTCCTGAACAATGGGTTCTTTGTGCAAGCTTAGCTGGAAAGGATGCCCATGTCGATGTGAGTAAGCGGGTGACTTGTAGGGAATAAATGTTTGAAACACTCTGGGCTGCCACAAAGCAATCATGATAAGCATGAGTGCTCATAACCGCTGCGCAACATGTTGCCAATGGTCCATCTTGTCGCAGAAGATATGCTAAATTGGAAAAGCTGTGGGTTGTGGTGACGCATGCCCAATGCTTCCGGACACGATGTCACAAAGGTGTTCAACGACAACACAACAACGCATTCAAAGGAGAACGTAGCCACAATTGACAACCTTCTTGAATCAGACTTGCACGTATGCGCCTTCCCGTGCCGGGCGAACCATTGGACCACCTATCCAGCATCTTATCACGAACGCGCACGTTTCTGAACACGTGCGAGGAACAGCTGAAATATCAGTCCAGAACAAAAGGCTGGTCCTTTAAGCCACAATCTGAGCAGCATCGATCAACCCAATCATCCAACCTTATGCGGATGTGGGTGCCTCTTTGAGGGCACCCTGTTCAGGCTGGTTTATAGGGAAACCTAAAGGAAAGTCATGGGTCACCCGGTCTTGACAAGCCATACACATGTATGTCACCCCAGTGGTTCGCAAAGCTCAAGTACGCCTCGGCGCAGCCAATCCACCCGAGCCTTGGTCAGGCTCGAGGTTTGCAGAACGCCAGCTTTGAGCTGGGGAACCCATGCTGATTGATGCTTAAGGTTCCACTTTTGGGGCAAACTCCCGAATCCGCCTGGCTTCTCAATCTGGGGGCAACATGACCTTGGATGTTGCACCTACTTGAGTAAGAGCTATTGTTAGACAAGAAAACCACCCCCCCCCGCTCACCACAGTTACTACATGGCACTAACCTGCTCACTAAGAAGGTTGAGCATCCAATGTCGACGCCGGATAAACAACCTGGTTCCTCAAAGGCAAAGGCTTGAATGGAACAGCTTCCCTATTCAGCCAGGAGTGTGTTTATCGGTTTCAACCCAATTTCGATTTACTCTTTGGGACAAAGGAACAATATACAGTACATGGGCTAGTTTGCGCCCATTCGGTTGGGCATGCTTGAACATCCTGAATCCTGGGTTCCAACCATCGTCGTTTTCGTGAAAGTCTGACCTTTAGCAGTCGACTCTCTTTCTTGGCATTGGTGAACCTCAACATCTGACAACCACATTACCTCAACCCCATACATACACCCATACCCATATTTGGTCAACCCCCCAAGAGAATCCAATTTTGGAGGGAGCCCTGAGACTCACTGCATCGAGGCGACTCGTTCTCAGCCGAAAGGCCCAAAGCCCCAGGGAGGCATCCAACGCGCTCTCCGCGAGCTCCTCCAGGTTCAACCGCCGCAAGAGGGCCACCTCTCTGCGCGGACTCCGCGCGATGCGCGGTTTCGATCCGCTCAGTAAACGAGCCTTTGGAGATCTAAGGGTTCAGCTGGGATGGAAACCTGAGGGGTTCTGGTCCAGTTCTCATCCAGAGATGGCTGAAGAATCCCAATGTCACCATCTGGTACAAGTGCACTGGCACTCATACCTGAAAGTGGGAGTGTAGCCAGTACCAAATTTTGCCAGCGGCTCGAAATGGCACGGTAGGTAACGCACACCCCGCGTCCTCCGAACGCAAACTCAAGGTCCTGAGACTTCGAGTGCCAACACCAGGGGCTTGTCGCCCCAAAAACGGGGTTTCCTCTGCTTTCTCACAGGCACTCATGCTCGGGATTCCAACAGCAAGATTCCAGTCCTGGACCCAGCTATCCTTGCTAGCTGACTTCTTATTGGCTGCCCTTAGTAATCAAACAAGCAAGCTTACCCAGCCCCCTCCCCATCGCCAAAAAAACATATAGCCGCAAACGGCCGCAGACGTTTTCCTGGCGTTCTTGGGTTTCCATTTTGTTGCCCTGCCAAACAAAAAGGATGCAGTTTACACACATGCATTGGCTCCCCAACTTTTCGGAGCAACCTGCAGCAGCCTCGTCATTCTCCTCCCCCCCTTCGCTTCGAGACCCTCATTTTTCGGCCTTGAGGCGCCGCCGCGCAGCTTGGAAGTCCGGGACAAGAGCCCCCCTTCGGATCGATGGGGAGGGCTTCTTGAATGGCTCAAAATGGAAACACCGGACCCCTTTTGGCTGGCTTTAAAAGGGAACCACAAGGAAGCCAGCCTAATGCAACCTAAGGGGACCACTATTTGGGAAACTCCCGCCATGAATTTTGAGCTCCAGAAGCAACATGGACAACTATATCACGGGTTGTTCATCCTAGGTTGTTTTTGGCTCGTCACTTTGAAGGGGATTCCCGTGGTATCACAGACCACGATCCTAACACCCATTTTTTGAGCAGTACAGCAATTTATAGATCTGTTTGTGCACACATCTCTTTGACACATTCTTCCACGGAGGGGCGAGCGAAATATTTCCTGAATAAAGCCGGATCAAGGATGATACGCCAGGTTCTTCGAATCATCTCAACAAATATATATATATATATATGTATATATAAACGACGACCGGAACAGGGCCAACTGCCCGTTTCAGTTTGTTTAGGAGGCCAAACCAAAGTATGTGTTGCCAGGGGACTGAACCAGGTGCCCCCGAGGTACATTGCTCAACGAAATGGTCTTACGCCTGAGAACTGAGACAGCAGGCAAATATGGTGTAAAGTACGTACACGTGTTTTCCCTCCAGATTTGGAGAACGCACTGGGCCACTTGGCTCCCCCTGATTGGGACCTGGCTGTGAAGTGGTCAGTCCTTGAGAGATGATATCTCACAGCTCGGCGGAAAGGATCTGAGAAGCTGCGAACGGGTTCTTAGAGGTTTCGAGAACCTTTCTGGCTTGGGTTTTCCATGCCTTCCTGAACAGATCAACCCACGTGCTTATCGCAAATGCCTGTTGTTACCTTCCCCCAATCTCTTCTGCATTGTTTCACTCTGAGATTGGACTCTGGAGGAAGTCTCTTGACTTGAACTCCAGACTGCTGTGGACAAATCCCGTACCATGGAAGCCCCGTGCAATCGACGAACGACCCATCCCAGTGTGGACCCAAGCGTTCCGCCCGCCTCGAGCGGTGCTCGTTGCCGCCCGCAGCAGCGCGGAGCTCCTGAAGTGAGTTAAATTATCAAAACCCATGTGGGGTCTGTCTCTCTACCTATCTAAGAAGCCAGCACAAAAAGGGGGAAACTCTACACAAAAACATTTAGCTGGTGTCTACATTGATCTTTGGTTCTAGTATGGCTATAGAGTAGTCACAAACCAGCTATCATTGGCCAATTGGGAAAAGGATTGTACTCTCTGGCTGAGGGTTCGTAAGGACTGTACATGGTGTGTCTCATGAGGAATTGGGCGGTCACATGCGCAATCTGATCCTTCGTGGCTTGGTTCTCATTCAGGAACCTCTCAAATACTGACCACAGTTCATAACCAAGACTAGCCCACTTGACTTGCGAACACACAACGAACAAACAAAGACACCGTGCATTCTCAAAACAGGGGGGACCCCCCTCCCCCCGCCAAATTGGTGTGTTTCGTTTAGGCTCCCTTTCAAGCCAAAAAAGGCCACCTAGAAGATGCGGCCACATGTTCAACCCAAGTTCAGGGTAAGAGAGCTAATCCCGAGCTGCCCCATACCCCAGTCAAACCCATAACTACAGTCTACGCCAAACTGCCTCGAAAAACTTTGCGAAGTCCTGTCGCATGGCCCACAGCAAGGCAGCCCGGTGCCGGTACCTGCCGCGATTGTCATCCCATGCGCATTTGAGGGATATAGGGGACCCCTACAACGGCTGGTTTCGGAAACCCTTGGAACTCCTGACTTTAGCCACTCCAAAACAGGTACCCTTGAAAATGCAGAAATGTACCTCCTTGGCGGTGTTGAAGCATACTAGCCAACGGATCTAGAACCAAGTTAACATTCAAGTACGATTGGAAATAATTGCCTTGTAGAAAACACAACCGTCCAAAAGGACCACTCTCAAAGAATAAAACATCTGCCCAACCTCATTTGGGTGTGGGGTTGAAGGTCTAGTCTAAAAACAAAACCCGCCACATCAGGTTTCTCTCCCGGCTCCAGAATAAAGCTTCCCAACTATAAACATAAAACACCAAAGGAGGATTCCTCAAACAAGATTCCTCTACAAATCTGGGTTGCTCTTTCCCCCCGATTAAAAGGTCGCTCACCTTTTGTAGAAGTTTGACAAGCCATTTGCTTCTCAAAGGTCTCTTTGGGTCCTTTGGGTACGGGCCAAAATTAAACCACTAGGAAACCGCAGGCTTTGGTCCTTGGTTCCATTTACCGGGGTGTGATTTTGGATACCCAGTTTTGACCCACAGTCAAATGAGGCAACAGGCGTCCCTCTGAATCCGCAAAGCAAACCATTCGCATTCAAGGCCCTGGCTCCGGCAACGCCACCACTGCGGCATAGAGGTGGGAGCAGCAAGTGAGGCCTGGGTACACCGGCCCTACCCCCCCTTTCCTGCAAATAACCACCACCACAAAACGGAACATACACACCCCACAACCAAAAATACATAAATATAAATAAGTATAACTATAAAAACAAATACACAAATAAATAAACAAATAAATAAATAAGCGTACAACATGACAAACACCACAGACTCCTGCAAGCCCATCCTCTCCAACAGTTGGACCTGTGGCGAAAGCCTGGGCTGTGACTATGAATGTTAGCGCTCAAGAACGGTGGGTGTCTTGCCGTCTTGTGCCGGCAAGGTGCAAGTGTCCGGCTTTTCCACATGACAAATCAAGGGTTTCAGGTCCAAGTCCTGGAAAGTACATACATACATACATACATACATTTCATTACATACATAAATACATACATTACACACACATACATACATACATACATACATACATACATACATACATACATACATACATTACATTACATTACATTACATTACATTACATTACATTACATTACATTACATTACATACACATACATACATACATACATACATACATACATACATACATACATACATACATACATACATACATACATACATACATACATACATACATACATTACATACATACATTACATACATACATACATACATACATACATACATACATACATACATACATACATACATACATACATACATACATACATACATACATTACATACATACATACACTACATTACATTACATTACATTACATTACATTACATTACATTACATTGCATACATACATACATACAAACATTACATACAAACACATACATACATACATACATTACCTACATACGTACATACATACATACATACATTACATACACTACATACATACATACATACATTCATGCGTACATACATTACATTACAATACATTACATAACACAACATAACATAACATACATTACATACATTACATACATTACATACATTACATACATACATACATAAATACATGCATTACATGCATGCATACATACATTACACACATACATACATACATTACATACACACACATACATTACATACATTACATACATTACATACATTACATACATTACATACATTACATACATTACATACGTTACATACATTACATACATACATACATACATACATACCTACATACATACATACATACATTACATACATACATACATACATACATACATTACATACATACATACATTACATACATACATACAGACATACATACATACATTACATTCCTGACATACATTACATAACATAACATAACATAACATACATACCATACATTACATACATTACATAACATAACATAACATAACATACATTACATACATTACATACATACATACATAAACACATGCATTACATGCATACATACATACATACATACAAACATTACACACACATACATACATACATACATACATACATACATGCATACATACATACATTACACACATACACTGCATGCATGCATACATGCATGCATACATACATACATACATTACATACATACATACATTACATACATACATACATACATTTCATACACACACATACATACATACATACATTACCTACATACATACATACATACATACATACATTACATACATTACATACATACATACATACATTCATGCATACATACATTACATTGCAAGACTTTACATACATACATACATTTGCACACATACATACATACATTACATACATTACATACATTACATACATTACATACATTACCTTACATACATACATTACATACGTTGCATTACATTACATACATACACACATACATAAATACATGCATTACATACATACATACATACATATATACATACATACATACATACATACATTACATACATACATTACATACATACATTACATACATACATTACATACATACATACATGCATGCATACATACACTAATTACATACATACATACATACATACATACATTACATACATACCATTGCATTGGAGTGCATTACATTACATTGAATTACATCACAGTACACTACAGTGCATTACATCACATAACATAACATACATACATACATTATACATTACATACAATCATTACTTACATTACATTACGTACATACATACATTAATACAAACATATATACATACATGCATACATACATACATCACATACCTACATACCATTGCATTGCAATACATTGCAGCGCATTATATCACAGTACGCTACACATACATGCATACAGGCATTACATCACAATACATTGCATTAGATGACATTACAATACAATAGAATATATTTGATTACATTACATTACATTACATTACACTACATGCATACATACATACATACATACATCACATACATACATTCCATACATTACATTGCATTACATTACATTACATTACACTACACTACATTACATACATACATTACATTACATACATACATTACATTACTTACATACATACATTACATTACATTACATTACATCACATTACATACATACATTACATACATAAAGTACATTACATTACATTACGTTATATTACATTACATTACATTGCATACATACCTACATACATACATACAGACATGACATTACATTACATTACATTACATTACGTTACATTCATACATTCATACATACATACATACATTGCATGCGTTACAGTACATTACATACATGCATACATAGGGTACATAACATTACATACATGCATACATACATACAGTACATTACATACACTACATTACATTACATGACACTACATACATTACATACATTCATACATTACATTACATTACATTACATTACATTACATTACATTACATTACCTTGCATTGCTTTACATTACATACATACAAAAAATACAACCGTACATACATACATGCATGCATACATACATACATTACATACATACATTCAGCGCAATGCAGCATCGAATCTTTTCCTTGCCAGTGTCTGCTCCACGGCCTGGCGCACCGTAAGTGCGTTGGTAGCCCCACACGGGCCCCCAGACTGCAACCAGGCCCCAGGTCGCTGGACTGTCTAGTGCGCCTGACCCGCACCAAGCAGGTGCACGTTCGCATCAACCCTGGGCGAGACACCGTCCCAGGGAGTGCGCCTTCCAATCACCAGCTCAAAAGCGCTTGTCATTGCATAGATGCGGCCACCGAAGGGACGCACGGTTTGTCACGTTGACGTTAACTTAGCGCGAAGGGCACCCTAGAGGAGCAAGGCCATTCTGAAAGACAGGGTGGGAAGGGCAAAAGGAGATGGACATTTTGGGCTCAAGCCAGAATGGCCCATTACACCTGACATTGGCGCATGAATGAATGCAGCTCACCAACCTGCCCATGCACAAAGCTGGCAAGCATTCAGCGCAATGCAGCATCCAATCTTTTTCTTGCCAGTGTCTGCTCCACGGACTGGCGCACTGTAAGTGCGTTGGTAGCCGCACATGGGCCCCCAGACTGGGGCGGCCTGCAATGAGGCCCAGGTCGCTGGACTGTCTAGTCCGCCTGACCCAATGCACTCCAGTCACCCAACGCACTTAAAGGTAGCCGAAGCAGGTCTGGACGGCGATGTGTGGGAGCTTCCATGAGAGTAGTGCACTTTGAAGCCGCGCTCGAGGAGAAAGATATCCTGAAAACCAACTCGGCTAATGCCGTCCGCCCAGTTGGCCTTGCTCTGCACCCACTCCCACCACAAGATGGCCTCAAGTTGAAACAGGAGCGTGTGAATGAGACGCGAGAGGTAGTCGAGCTCATGGTTGTCAGATCGTCCCCTCACCAAGGACATGAGCGCGGCGATGTTGTCCACATAGAAGACGCCAGTGGCTCCGCGAAAGGCGTCCAGAAACGTGAGGAGTGCTTGCAGGACCATCAGCAGCTCAAGCTGCGCGATCTTGGTAGTAGCGGTGCGCCACAAGGCGAAAACTGACGAGTCAATGTGGACCACAGCACCAACTCGCTCCAGGCTGGGGGTGGAAATCAGGAATCCACCTGAGCCACTCTCAGGACCATCCTGCGCAGCATCGGACGCTGCTGCAATGCGCGGGCTAGAGCCGGGCAACAACCCAAGAAGCCTGCACGGCTTCATGTCCAGGATCTGCAGCACCCCTGGCCCATGAGCCCAAACACAAAAGCCAAGGAAGGTCTCCGTATTCAGGACATCCTCCAACGTGGGGAACTGGACTCCACGGAAGGAGACGGCGGGGAAAAGGTTCTTGACCGCTGCCACAACCGACTCTTGTTGGAACATCGCCGGGGCCGGCGACACCGACCGCACTCCTGCGGCCAGAGCTGCCATCCGCACATGCCTGACAGGAACGCCTGTCTTCCTGGTGGATGGCTGGTCGCTGCAGTAGAGTTCCCAACACAGGCCCACGAGAACATCCGCATGGCAATGCTGGTTGCGAGGACAGTCGCAAACCAACGTCATTCCAGCCAACTCATGCAACTGCTGCTGGAGCGCCGAGCCCTGCATGAACACCAGGTAGCGGAAAGCAATCTCCGCTGGTGTCCCATGGCGACCGACTTGGAAAGGGGACTTCCACTTTGTGCAGCCGATGGCTGAAGTGCCCTTGGCCAACGTGGAGCATGTTCTGCGGCAACTCGCCATTGGCCAGCACGTCCGCGGCGACCGCGCGGCGGGGCAGTCGTGCCTGGGATCCAGGCGGGAAAAGGCCCAAGAACAACGCCAGGGGAGTCATAGCTTCGGAACGAAAGACAGCGGCTGGGGTTCAAGCCAAGAACGACGATCGCCCGCATGGCCCCCCGACTGCTGCTGCAAAACAAACTGGATGGCCAACAAGAAATCTGCTGCATGGTTGTCTGCTTCAACACGTGCCAGACTGGCATCCGCCAGGCCGGCCAGGCCTCGAGGCTCACGCTCTGATCGAAGAGGAGCTGGGCAAGAATGATGTCCTGGCGCCGGGATCTGGCGAATGCGACTCTTCGTGCTGCAATCCAA